TAGGCTACCACACAGAGCCTATGTTAATTTATGCTGATTTTGGCTACTTTATATGCGATTTCGGAAAGAGTACCACTCACCATCCGAATAAGCAGGATCTGGCGTCCTTTTCGAGCACGCGGACTTCGGAGTGCCTACGATGACAATGGCAACTTAAATGAATGGGAAAATTCCCACAGACAGCCTGGGTTCCCTTACTACTCTCTGCTGCTGACTCAGACTCAGACGACGACATATTTTGTCTTACGTCGGCCACCGTAGCTTCTCATTCGAGTTTGAAAACCGAGGGATAGGCCGCGAGTGACTTGCGTTTGCAATTTGCAAGTCTCACCACTAGATGCCGCTAAAAATCCCACACTGCACCTTTAAAGTACTAACATCATTTCTGTTCATATAGAGTTAAGAAATATGAGAAAATAATCTGTTAAATGTCTACTTTTTTATGTGCCCACATACAATCGAAATAAAATATTGTGCTTTTGTAAAATAAAGAAAATAAACAGGGTGTGCGTTCTGCCTCTCGGTCACCGTGAACTTTTTTTCTGGAGCACGTCTCTAATCTTCAACACAACTCAGCTAATACTATTCACCCAGCCATAAGCAATGTATCTTTTAAATCATTTGAGTTTGTACTTTTAAATGATCCGATTCAAAACTAAAATTATTATTCTCCGTTTATGTCATCTATATAAAAAGAGAGACGTGTCAGCCCGTCTCATTATCGTTCTCTCAGCTGATTATCTCTGGTAATGTGACACGCCCACGGAGAGCACGCGCTATTCAAACGCAAATATGTGAAGCAACACATTGAGACGCGTTAACGCCCATAAACTCTGAAAACACACATTATTTTTTAGTCAGATTAATCTACTGTCGTCTTGCGCGGCTATATGAGGAACAATCCTGGGACATTTACCACTGGGTTTATTTTCACTTCGAGGATGAACAGATTCAGCTGAGAAGTAAGTGTTTTTTGCAAGTGCTTTGTTCTAATCGCGATATAGAATAACGTAGTGTCTGTAAACGGAAAAATAGCATACTGTTAAATGTGAATCATGTTTGTGTGTGTGTGTGTGTGTGTGAATGAATGAATGAATGAACGCACAGATACGCACTGTTACAGACTAAATAACAGACAACATTTCGTTGACTCGTTTTGGATAAAGTTTTTACTCTAAAATAGACATCAAATATGCTTTTTTTAGGAGTTTCTGCTCATATGTTAAATATATAGTATGTTTTGTCAATAAACTAATCAACTAAGATGTTATAGTGTTTGTTCAAGCTATATCAAAATAATGAATCCTCAACTTTGAAATATGTATGATCAAACTAAGACATTTATGGAGAAAGACAATTTTCTTTTCTAGATGTTTCCAACTCTAACTTTGAACTTTGAACTGAAATAAAACCATGTCTATATGGTGAAGGGTGTGTGATAGAAGTGTCCAGACGTATGCACCCTGTATTTTCCTTATATAAATCCAAACAATCTAAAAGCCATTCTTTTTTAAATCTCCTCATTCTTTGTGCAAGGCTCCTGTAATGAAATGGCCTGATAGCACCTAATAGGGCCATTATGGGGAGGGTCTTTGTCTTTCTCAGGTGTGGAATGCCACACATATTAATGAGAGATCACGCCTCCTGCATAAACCTTTCTCAAACAAAACACGTCATTAAAAATGTAAAAGACTTTATTGACTTATCTGAATGAGTAGTCAGGATGATTCTCACATAGTTTTGGAGCAAATATTCTAGGCTATGTGATAAAATTTTCAAAAGTCTTGTGAAGAAATAATCAATATGTGTTTTGTGGTCTTATTTCAGCAACTTTCATTTTTATTTTTTTCAATAACCACGCATAAACATTATTCTATTAAAAATACAAACATGTACATACATGTTGCTCAGATCTCATGGTAGCCAAGTTTGTGCTATATAGAGTGAATTTACACCTTTGCCATTAACATGTTTATAAATAACTGAAAAAAGCACAAATGTCAGTGCATGTCAAAACATCCCAAGGGCCCCAAAAACACTCTGGTCCCCAGAGGGTTAAATTACATCGACAATTGGTTGATTTCAGCTCAGTCAGAGCAATTGGCAGATCGAGATGTCGTTCTGTCCCATATAAAGTGTTTGGGGTTGCGGCTCAACACCAAAAAAAGTGTGCTCCTCCCAGCTCAGAGGACCACTTTTCTAGGTGTAATTTGGGATTCGACCACTATGCAGGCACGTCTGTCCCCTGCACGTATTTCTGCGATTCTCACAGCCGTAAAGAATGTGAAACTAGGCCAGTCACTCACTGTAAAACAGTTTCAGAGACTGTTGGGTCTCATGGCAGCTGCGTTCAACGTAATTACTTTTGGCCTTCTGTACATGAGACCCCTGCAGTGGTGGCTCAGGACCAAGGGGTTTTCTCCGAGGGGAAATCCGTTCCGCAGGATCAAGGTCACGCGGCGATGCCTTCGTGCCTTGGTCATGTGGAGGAAACCTTGGTTCCTCGCCCAGGGCCCAGTGTTGGGGGCTTCTTGTCGACGCGTCACGCTTTCGACGGATGCTTCGCTCACGGGGTGGGGGGCGGTCATGAGTGGCCGCTCGGCGCAAGGTCTTTGGCAGGACCATCAAAGTTCCTGGCATATAAATCGTTTGGAGATGATGGCGGTATTTCGAGCTCTCAAGTATTTCCTGCCAGACCTGAGAGGCCATCATGTGCATCACATCGGTGGTCTCCTATATCAACCATCAGGGGGGTCTGAGGTCACGTCACCTTTGCAAGCAGGCCCATCAGATCCTCCTATGGGCCCAGGGGAAGTTGCTATCTCTCAGAGCAGTATACATTCCGGGGGGTCAGAATGTGGGAGCTGATATCCTGTTGAGGCAGGGGCTGAGGCCAGGGGAGTGGAGACTTCACCCCGAGGTGGTGGAGCTCCTGTGGGAGAAGTTTGGTCAAGCTCAAATAGACCTTTTCGCATCGTCAGATACAACCCATTGTCCCATGTGGTTCTCCCTCACGCAGCCAGCTCCTCTCGGACTGGCCGAGGCTACACCTGTACGCATTTCCCCCGATATCTATGCTTCCGGGGGTTCTGGAGAGGGTTCGCCGGGAAGGGGCTCATCTGCTACTAGTAGCCCTTTACTGGCCAACTCGAATTTGGTTCTCGGACCTAATGTCTCTTCTGGACGGCTCTCCCTTGGAGATTCCGCTCAGGGGGGACCTGCTGTCCCAGGCAGGGGGCACGATATTTCACCCTCAACCGGAGTTGTGGAAACTGTGGGCCTGGCCTCTGAGGGGGCCCGGCTCAAGGAATCCGATCTCTCGACTGAGGTCGTTGAGACCATTCTTCATTCCAGAGCCCCTTCCACGAGAAGACTGTATGCACTGAAATGGAAATTGTTCTCCACCTGGTGTGGTGTACGTCATTTAGATCCTGTTAACTGCCCTGTTGGTTCAGTTCTCGATTTTTTGCAAGACCGTTTCTCTGGTAGATTATCTCCTTCCACCCTAAAGGTTTACGTGGTGGCTATATCTGCCTACCACACCCCTATGGGGGGCACTTCTATTGGGAGAGATCCTCTTATCACTCATTTTCTCCGTGGTACATTGAGGTTGAGACCTGCACCGCACTCTAGAGCACCGGCCTGGGATTTAGCCGTTGTACTTGAAGGTCTGGCTTTGGCTCCCTTTGAGCCCATTGAAGAGGTTTCAGAAAAATTCCTCACTCTAAAGACTCTTTTTCTCCTTGCTATTACGTCTATCAAAAAAATTGGAGATCTTCACGCCCTGTCGGTTGCTCCCTCATTTCTGGAATTTGCACCTGGTATGGTGAAAGCATTTCCTTACCCTAGACCGGGTTATATTCCAAAGGTCCCAGTTAATGTTGGGGGCCCAATAGTGCTGCAGGCCTTTTATCCTCCACCTTTCAATACCTCAGATCAGGAACGACTGAACCTGTTATGTCCAGTTCGGGCATTAGATGCCTACGTTCACAGAACAACTATTTGTCTGCTTTGGGTCACTCAAGAGAGGGTTCCCTGCATCTAAACAGGTAATGAGCAAATGGATAGTCGAGGCTATATCATTGGCTTATGAAGCGGCCGGACAGCCTTCACCTATGGCTGTACGGGCCCATTCTACTAGGAGTATGGCGGCCTCTACGGCCTTAATTTCGGGTGTTTCCCTTTTTGACATTTGTAATGCGGCAGGATGGTCCTCTCCACATACATTTGTCAGGTTTTATGACCTTGACCTCTCCACTCCAGGGGCGAGGTTGCTTGCTTCTTAGTGTGCGCTGGACTTTACATAGAACGAGCATTTGTCACTATGGCGTAGTGGGTATGGGGGTTCCCACCGCGTCTCAAAACGCAGCTCGAAGTTCCCTTGAAAGGGAACGTCTCAGGTTACGTATGTAACCCTGGTTCCCTGAGAGGGAACGAGACGCTGCGTTTGCCTGCCATACTTCCTGCATGCCCTGATCGACTTGCTTCAGGTTTTTTCAGAAGCTGTCGCGGTCTGATTTCAGGGGTGCTTTATAGTTTCCTGGTCTATGACGTCACCCATGACGTTTCGGGCTTCCATTGGAGTGATTTTACATGTGCTTCACGACGTAATCACGCAGGGCGTTCCCACCGCGTCTCAAACGCAGCGTCTCGTTCCCTCTCAGGGAACCAGGGTTACATACGTAACCTGAGACGTTTTCTATCCAGTTTTTTATTTTTAATGCATTATAAAGTGTTTCATAATGTACATGTTACAATGCCTTATATCTTATCATAACTAATTGTAACCAAATTAAAAATGCATTATATTTCATCTCAATGGTTGTTCTTCATAAAGGTGAAATGGTACCAATGAATAGATAATATTATAATGCTGTTATTGATTCGATCATACATGCATTTTAATGTATATAGCAGTGCATAATTAATGCATTAAAAATACTTTTATAATGCAATATGTATGAAAGCTTTAAATAAAGTGTTACTGATATTGTTTTATAATGATTGAATCTAAAACTAGAGCAACATTATTCCTCTGCTGTGAATGTGCAGTGCAGTGTGTTGTGTGTGTGTTTGTGAATGTGTTGTGTTTGTCTCCTGCAGCTGGTCCCACAGTGAAGCCCTCAGTGTCTCTGCTGCCGCCCTCTTCTCTGCAGATCTCTGGAGACTCAGCCGCACTGCTCTGCCTGCTCAGCTCTTACTCTCCACAGGGGGCGCTGGTGAGCTGGACACTGGACGGGTCAGAGGTCACCGAGGGGGTTCTGACCAGCGCAGAGAGCCAGCAGGACGGCCGCTACAGCCGCAGTAGCGTCCTGACCCTCAGCATAGCACGCTGGGAAGAGGGAGAGCTGTACGTCTGCAGAGTAACACATGATGGAGCTCCTCATGAGGTCTCGTTCCACAAGAGCTCTGAGTGCTGATGTTTCTCTCCTGAAGATGAGCCGTATCTGAGTGTCCTGTGTCAGGCAGGATTCACATGAGTCTAGTGCTGCAGCTGTAGTGCTTTACAACTCCATACTGAAAGAGAGTGTGTGTGTGTGTGTGTGTGTGTGTGTGTGTGTGTGTGTGTGTGTGTGTGTGTGTGTGTGTGTGTGTGTGTGATCTTTCAATCTGCTGTGTTTGCTGCAACATTCAATAAACCATCTCAACAAGTTCACTTTGTGTCTGACAACATCATTCAACTAACAGATGAAGATGCAGGAGCTTTTCAGAAGGTTGATGTCGCAGTAAATGTCAAATAAAGCTCTTGGGGTTTGAACATGGTCTCATGGTCTCAGACAGAGCTGCTCTATTCTGAGAGATCACAATCACTCCACCCTGACAATGCAAATGGGCTTTTCAGTCTCACTCTCTGACTGGTTACATGATCTGGACTGGAACACTTTCACTTCTGGTTTAGTGAAGAAGCGCAGACAAACTGATCATTAATTTTTTTTATGAAATAATTAACTTATATATTAAAATGGCATCATAAATCATATAAAAACATGATCACAAATCAAGAACGTTTCTGTAAACGTTTCTGTGTCTCAAATGGAAAGCATCACGTCCAGACAGCAGAAGTGACTTTCTGTCTAATTTAAAATCTGATGTACAATTCCAGTCACCACCCAAAACTAGACAAGCATTTTTATCATAACTTCCCATTATACTTTGACAATTCTTAAAAACCTTTATCCTTTCTGCACCATTATTGGGTGCATAGACATTAACAAAGACAAAAGAAAATCCCAACAACTTAGCATGAACAGCCAGAATTCGACCCTTCTCTATTTCATCACTTGATTCAAAAGTTATTTCAATTCTCTTCAAGAACAAGATAGCAACACCACCCGTCGTATTAGTGCCATGACTTAGGAAAAGATGGCCTCCCCACCACTTTTTCTATCTCATTAGCTATGTCACTATGTGTCTCTTGTAAGAAAATGATATCCATATCCTTATTTTCAATATATTCTTTTAACACTGCTCTTCTACTACCATCCCTTCCTCCATTAATATTAATTGTTCCTATCTTAATACTTCCCTTTAGAAGAAAAGAAAGATCAAGAAAGAAAAAAAGAAGGGTTAGCAAAGAAAAAAAACACAAAACACCCCAAGTGATTTAATCATTAAGGAGTTGTTATATCTTTTTCAAGGGCCATTTTTATTCTCAATTTATTTAAAAAATAAATAAATAATAAAATCTAAATCGTTTCCAGTTCCTCATAAGTGGCTGTCAGGGAAAAAAAATCACTTATCTCTATTGTTTTCCCAAATGTCGCATCCAGGAAATCATTAATCTCATTTACAGTATACAATTGGTCTTCATTAATTTGAGAAAGAATACGTCTCAGGTTACGTATGTAACCCTGGTTCCCTGAGAGGGAACGAGACGCTGCGTTTGAGACGCGGTGGGAACGCTCTGCGTGATTACGTCGTGAAGCACATGTAAAATCAATCCAATGGAAGCCCGAAACGTCATAGGCGGGTGACGTCATAGACCAGGAAACTATAAAGCACCCCTGAATTCAGACCGCGCCAGCTTCTGAAAAAACCTGAAGCAAGTCGATCAGGGCATGCAGGAAGTATGGCAGGCAAACGCAGCGTCTCGTTCCCTCTCAGGGAACCAGGGTTACATACGTAACTTGAGACGTTCCCTTTCAAGGGAACTTCGAGCTGCGTTTGAGACGCGGTGGGAACCCCATACCCACTACGCCATAGTGACAAATGCCCGTTCTGTGTGAAGTCCTTGCGCACACTAAGAAGCAAGCAAGCAACCTCGCCCCTGGAGTGGAGAGGTCAAGGTCATAAAACCTGACAAATGTATGTGGAGAGGACCAACCTGCCGCATTACAGATATCAAGAAGGGAAACACCCGAAATTAAGGCCGTAGAGGCCGCCATACTCCTTGTAGAATGGGCCCGTACAGCCATAGGTGAAGGCTGACCGGCCGCTTCATAAGCCAATGATATAGCCTCAACTATCCATTTGCTCATTACCTGTTTAGATGCAGGGCATCCTCTCTTGAGTGACCCAAAGCAGACTAACAATTGTTTAGACTTACGCCACAGGGCAGCCCTGTGAACGTAGGCATCTAATGCCCGAACTGGACATAACAGGTTCAGTTGTTCCTGATCTGGGGTATTAAAAGGTGGAGGATAAAAGGCCTGCAGCACGTTTGGGCCCCCAACATTAACTGGGACCATAGGAATATAACCCGGTCTAGGGTAGAGAAATGCTTTCACCATACCAGGTGCAAATTCCAGAAATGAGGGAGCAACCGACAGGACATGCAAATCTCCAAATCTCTTGATAGACGAAATAGCAAGGAGAAATAAAGTTTTTAGAGTGAGGAATTCCTCTGAAACCTCTTCAATGGGCTCGAAAGGAGCCAAAGCCAGACCCTCAAGTACAATGGCCAAATCCCAAGCCGGTGCTCTAGAGTGCAGTGCAGGTCTCAACCTCAGTGTACCACGGAGAAAACGAGTAATAAGAGGATCTCTCCCGATAGAAGTACCCCCCCCCCCCCCCCCGAGGGGTGTGGTAGGCAGATATAGCCGCCACGTAAACCTCTAGGGTAGAAGGAGATGACCTAGCAGAGAAACGGTCTTGCAAGAAATCAAGAACTGAACCAACAGGGCAGTTAACAGGATCTAAATTACATTCACCACACCAGGTGGAGAATAATTTCCATTTCAATGCATATAGTTTTCTCGTGGAAGGAGCTCTGGATTGGAGAATGGTCTCAACGACCTCAGTCGAGAGACCGGATTCTATGAGCCGGGCCCCCTCAGAGGCCGAGCCCACCGTATCCAAAACTCCAAATGAGGGTGAACTCCCAGGAGCAAAGATATCGGGAAATGCGTACCGGTGTAGTGTCAGCCACACCTAATACATCACATCCAGTCCAAGCGGAGCTGGATGTGTGAGGGAGAACCAAATAGAGCAATGCGTTGTACAAACGATGTGAAAGGTCGACTTGACTTTAGTTTGACCAAAGTTCTCCCTAAGAAGCTCCACCACCTCGGGGTGAAGTCTTCAATCCCTGGGCCTCAGCCCCTGCCTCAACAGGATTTCTGCTCTGATATATACGAGACCAACAGTGTGTTGTTTGCCATTCGCCGTGCGACCACTCATGATCGCCCCCACTTGTGAGGGAAGCATCCGTCGATAGCAATATGCGTCGACAAGAAGCCCCCAACACTGGGCCTGGGCGAGGAACCAAGGTTCTTCCACATGACCGAGGCACGAAGGCATAGCCGCGTGACCTTGATCATGCGAAAACATATTTCCCCTCGGAGAAAACCCCTTGGTCCCGAGCCACCACTGCAGGGGTCTCATGTGCAGAAGGCCAAAAGTAATTACGTTGGACGCAGCTGCCATGAGACCCACCAGTCTGAAACTGTTTCACAGTGAGTGACTGGCCTAGATATACCCCAATACGGCTGTGAGAATCGCTACACCCAGAAAAGTGGTCGTCAGAGCACACTCTTCTTGGCGTTGAGAGGCAACCCAACATCCTTAATGAGACAGAACGACATCTCGATGCCGAACTGCCATAAACTCAGATTGAGCTAGGATCAACCAATCATTGATGTATGATAATACGCGAATGCCCTGGAGTCTCATAAGAGCCAGAGCTGCATCCACGCATACTGTAAAGGTGTGGGGTAATAAACCTAGGCCGAATGGAAGAACCCTCATCCTCTTTCGGAAACAATGAAGTAATGGCTGTCTGCTGGGAGGAGGAACCCCTTCTACAGCTCCTTTTGCAGAAGTGACAGTACTTCCTGCTCCATAACCAAAGCCTGCTCGGTGTCCACCAATTAGAGGAGGACCCCAGAAATCTGGGTGAACGAGAACCGAACTGAATTCTGAAACCCTTTTCTATAGTGTGCAGGACCCACTGAGAAATATGTGGCAGTAGTTTCAACGCTGCCAGAAATTCTACTAGGGGAACCAATCTCTCAAGACTGGCCTCTGGATTTGTTTGAACAGTCACTACGGCGCCCTGAAGCGGCGAACCGGCAGGGAACAACCGAACTGACCATTCTACGACCCTCCTCGGAGGATCGCATGGGGACGCTGACACCTCGGTGCCCTGAACGGCGAACCGGCAGGGAACAACCGAACTGGCAGCGCTGCGACCCTCCTCAGAGAGTCGCACCCCAGAGGTCGCCGAGGAGAAACGATTTCTCAAAACCGTCCCTGCCCCGGAGGAGCCCTCAGAAGCCTGATAGCCTCGTTCTTTTGCGACAGGACTTCTTGTCTAAGCTTTATTAGAAATGATGACAGTCCTCAGATCTTGCCTACCTCTAACTAGCTTAGTTCCTACGACCCTCCTCGGAGGATCGTTGGAAAAAGCAGGCACTTCGGCGCCCTAAAACGGCGAACCGGCAGGGAAACCGAACTGACTGCTCTTCATTTTTTCTTATTTGAAGGCTCGTTTGGGGACACTGACACCTTGGTGCCCTGAAACAGCGAACCGGCAGGGAAACCGAACTGGCAGTGCTGCGACCCTCCTCAGAGAGTCGCACCCCAAAGGGCGCTGAGAGGAAACGATTTCTCAAAACCGTCCCTACCCCAGAGGGGACCACCCTTAGAAGCCTGATCGCCTCGGCGTTAGGGCTTCTTCTTTGTCCAAGCTATGTTAGAGATAAAACAGTCCTCAGATCTTGCATGTCTCTAACTGGCTAGACTGCGACCGCCACCCAGGTACCCCTCAATTGCGAAGGAGCCCGAATGGCGACGCTCTGTTTTGCACTTGTGCTGAGAGGAGCTTAATAGGCCGAGACTGCTCCCGCCCAGCAGTCTCAGGAACATTAGATTGGTGAGGAAGAAACCTCTGGAACGCCGCTGAATGGTTTATTTCTTAGTTTTCTTGAAAGCGGAGCGTCCAGAAGAACAGACATAATTATACGTTTATTTTCTTTTATCTTTATATCAGAAAAACTTATATATATATATATATACATATATATCACTCTGTGGCCACCAGCAGGAAACAACCGAACTGGCAGCACTGCGACCCTCCTCAGAGAGTCGCCCCTCACATTCATCCATGT